TGCTAATGATTGAACTTCATTACATTAGTGAAGATTCTTGTTGATGTTTTGATAAATATGTAATTGAATTAAGAAAGGTACATGACCTGAGGATTGGGTAATTAAAAAACTATTTTGTATGAGGTTTAACATAGAACTTGTGTACAGCTATACATTTATACAAATATAATAAATGACTGCTAATATAATTGTATTTAAATGGCAATGAGCAGACATGAACATAATCTTAAAGAGGAACTTCACTCCTCACTTTAGCGACAATTTATTTACTGTATATGCCCTGTTAATTGGTTCTATGTGAAAATATAGAAAAAAACATACTGTTGCCTTTCTGGCATCCAAAATGAATGCTTGTTGCTCTGCTCATGTGCCGCCATCTTGGAATAAGATCTAACGTGCGCAGATGCGCTCTGTTTCTCTACCTGTTCCCATGGACCCGCAGCGTGACTGTCCATGTACAAGATTTCACACTGGGACTTTATCCTTTGTCATCCAGGAATTAAAAAAAAAATCAAAATTGTTTATGGGGAAGAGGCAGAGGAGAGGAAGTGCAATGCATGGGTGAAGGTCTGCTTTAAACAGTGCAAGAACCTTTCAGTCATAGCTTGGTTCTACTGAAACCTTTTGGAAGATAAGCATCTTTTGAACTTTGTGAAAGTGCCAAAAGTATGTTATGGACCAATGAGTCCCTCTCAAATGCTTCCATGCTTCCAACCTGTACAGAAATTATTATTAAAGGTCACTGTTTTAGAAACCAGTGACCATGTTTTATAAAAAAGAAACAGTATTTGGTGTGGTTAAATATGCAGTAGTTAAGCAGGAAACAGTACACTTTAATTACCAAATTAATCTCTTTTACAAGTATTTTAAAGAAGCCACTCAAATCAAGGTTTCTTCAAAAGATTCCCCTGAATGGAAGACATGAAATAATCACCTATTCTGTCTCTCTGTGCTTTTGATTGTTGTTGCATTGAAAAGAAAGGTCGCCTGAAGAATCACCAGAAACTGACACATCGAGGCTTGTTGATTTCCAGGTAAACTGTTCCCTGTGGTTCGATTCACTGCAGGAAATAGTGGTGATATAGAGGTCGGCAAATGGAACCTAAAAGCATGGCAAGGGACCTGGAAATCAATACTTCTGGAAGTGTCTGTTTCTGAAGAGTCTTTAAGCAGTGGTTTCTTTTCACTATAGCAGTGACAGCAAACCTCTTCCTTTTATTTATTTTTTAGTAGCTCCAGTATGGCACAAAAAGTTTAATACTCATCTCCCAGCATATGCAGAATATAATGCTATTTCTATATGGGGGGGTTAAAAAGAGAGGATTAATTACCTTAATCCTCAGTCCTATAGTTTCCTCTGTGCAGTTTCCTGTTGTGAGAACCGGTCTCCCTCTTTTCTTGATAATCCTCACGTGGTCATCTCACCACCCCTCTAGCTAAAGTCATTATGTATAATGTAGGCCCACTCACATTCTGACACTGGAGAGAAGAGAACCAGAGCATTGGCTACCATGGGATGCATTTTGTTTTTTGATCCAGTCTGGAGCTCTGCTTCAAGCTGGAAAAATCTGATACAAAAAGGAATCCTTCATGGTGATATACCATGCAAGGATTTGCACAAACATTTTTGCATATTCTTATTTTCTCTGTTCTGAAATAATAATTTAATCTGCTTGATAAGTATATGTCTTTGTTAAAATTATAGCAGTCTTAATGTATTACTAAGATTTAAACAGTACTGACATCACCTTAGTTCTAGGGCTCTTTGAGATTATTTCAGCAGAGATTAAATTCTTTTCTTTATCACACATCAGGGGACACAGAGCATCTTCATATCTACGATGATAGGGTTACCCTGCCACCTTAAGGTGATTGGACAGAGAGATCCTGCACCTCTTTCTTATGATTCATGGCTTGCTACAAAAACTGAAGTCTTGTCTAATGGTCAGGGTTTTTGCCTGGGTGGGGACTTCCTGTCCTTTTTTTTTTGGTTGTTATCAGTCACCTGTACGTTGTAGCATAATCCTAGCATCATGGAGTCTGTGTCTTGTGATTTGCACCAAAAAAAGGATTTTACAGATAAACCAAAGATTTTTGCAAGGCTACTTGAAAGTTTACCTTAGCTCTATGTAGACTTTTAAAAAGCCATTTGGCAAAAATGGAATTTGTAGGATTGTTCTGTACATATATAGTTTACAGAATGTTCTTAGATTACTATTACTTTATAAGTACAGTGCCTTGAAAAAGTATTCATACCCCTTGAAATTTTCCACATTTTGTCATGTTACTACCAAAAACATAAGTGTATTTTATTGGGATTTTATGTGATAGAACAACACAAAGTGGCACATAATTGTGAAGTGGAAGTAAATTGATAAATGGTTTTCAAATGTTTTTACAAATAAATATCTGAAAAGTGTGGCGTGCATTTTTATTCTGCCCCCTTTACTCTGATACCCCTAACTAAAATCTAGTGGAACCAACTGCCTTCAGCAGTCACCTAATTAGTAAATAGAGTCCGCCTGTGTGTAATTTAATGTCAGTATAAATACAGCTGTTCTTTGAAGCCCTCAGAGGTTTGTTAGACAACATTAGTGAACAAACTGCATCATGAAGACCAAGGAACACACCAGACAGGTCAGGGATAAAATTGTGGTTTAAAGCAGGGTTAGGTTATAAAAAAATATCCCAAGCTTTGATCATCTCACAGAGCACTGTTCAATCCATCATCTGAAAATGTAAAGAGTATGGCACAACTGCAAACCTACCAAGACATGGTCATCCAAAATGACAGACCAGGCAAGGAGAGCATTATTCATAGAAGCAGCCAAGAGGCCCATGGTAACTCTACTAGCTACTCAGCTACTCAGGTGGGAGAATCTGCTACTCTAGCTACTCAGGTGGGAGAATCTGTTCACAGGACAACTATTAGTTGTGCACTCCACAAATCTGACCTTTATGGAAGAGTGGCAGAAGAAAGTCATGGTTGAATGAAAGCCATAAGAAGTCCCATTTGCAGTTTGCGAGAAGCCATGTAGGGGACACAAGAAGAAGGTGGAAGAAGGTGCTCTGGTCACATGATACCAAAATTGAACTTTTTGGCCAAAAAGCAAAACGCTATGTGTGGCAGAAAACTAACACTGCACATCACCCTGAACACACCATCCCCACCGTGAAACATGGTGGTGGCAGCATCATGTTGTGGGAATGCTTTTCTTCATCAAGGACCGTGAAGCTGGTCAGAGTTGATGGAAGATGGATGGAGCAAAATACAGGGCAATCTTAGAAGAAAACCTGATAAAGTCTGCAAAAGACTTGAGGTTGGGGCAGAGGTTCACCTTCCAGCAAGACAATGACCCTAAACATACAGCCAGAGCTACAATGGAATGGTTTAGATCAAAGCATATTCATGTAATAGAATGGCCCAGTCAAAGTGCAGTCCTAAATCCAATTGAGAATCTGTGACAAGACTTGAAAATTGCTATTCACAGTCGCTCTCCATCCAATCTGACAGCTTGAGCTTATTTGCAAAGAAGAATGGGCAACATTTTCACTCTAGATGTGCAAAGCTGCTGGTAGAGACATCCCCAAAAAGATTTGCAGCTGTAATTGCATTGAAAGGTGGTTCTACAAAGTATTGACTCAGGGGGGCCAAATACAAATGCACGCCACACTTTTTAGATATTATTTGTAAAGAATGTTGAAAACCATTTATACTTTTCCTTCCATTTCACAATTATGTGCCACTTTGTGTTGGTCTATCACATAAAATCCCAATAAAATACATTTACATTTTTGGTTGTAACTTGACAAAATGTGAAAAATTTCAAGGGGTATGAAAACTTTTTTCAAGGCACTGTAAGTCATTGTATTTTCTGCAGTTTTAATGCATAACAACAACCTTTGAAATGGAAACATATTTTTTTAATAATGGATTATGCTTATTTTTTTTTTGTAGGAAAAATAGACTTCCCCACTTACTGCCAGAAAATAGAGTTGACCACTTACTGTCAGAAAAATATATTCTGCAAATACCCCTTATTGTTAAAACTGACACAATTAGAAGCCACTAACTGAATGCCTACATTAATTAATTTACTATTAATTCTTGCACAATTCTCTTACAAATTCTGGTACCAGATGTTTTTATTATAACAAAATGTATATTGTTACATATAGAACACTGAAGAGCACAACAATAAAGGGCAAGGTATAAAAAACAATGTAGAAGATCATAAAAATGTTTGTATGTTACATTTGAGAAGTGTGGATGAATTAAGCCTGGTACGCATGTTAAGTTTTTTCCGTTCAACCCAGCAGGCTGAACGAAAAAAAAAACAAGGGGGTCTCTGTGTTAACTATGTGATGTTAGTACAGCGATCTGCCCACTATGCTATTGTATTCGGACAGGGGGGCTGCCCATCAACAGAACACACCGCTCACAGCTCACAGCCATTGGCTGTAAGCACTGGTCGGATGCTGTTTGGTTGCAAGCGCTGATCGGATGCCGATCAGTTGCTGGTTTTCCAGGATGCTTGTTCGACAAAAGGCAGTCATGAGATCAGCTTCTGTCACACAAGCAGTTGCACACTCTGGCCCGAAAGTTGACTGGTTTTCTACTGTACTGGCTAAGTGTGTACGGGGCTTAACTCTGCAAATCAGGATCATATAATCCAGTACTTTTTAAATAAGGAAAAAATTCAAAAATTCAGTTCACAAGCCGCATGTTGCATGGAGGTATCCAATAAGCCCTGAAAAGTGGTATGCAGTATAGAAAGTGGAAGGAGAAAGAAGAAGGTAGGCCAGATTTCCACAAACTGAAATATGTATTATACGCCCAGTGTTCAAAAGCATTGAGGATATTGGACAAGAGAAGAAGAGTAAAGAGAAGGGGGGGATTGAAAGCTATGTTTTAGTGATTTGTAGCTTGGGTGAAAATAACCCAGTTGCTTTTGTTTCTTTTCTGACCATTGTCTGTATTATATTTTTCTATTGCTTAGAAACACTTGATAAGCACAGCAGAAGTGGACCCAGCCACTCATGGCTTATCTCTCCCTATTGGTGAGAGGCTGTCAGCCAAGGTAAGCCTCTTGCTTGGTTGTGCTTTCTTTTGTAATGTATTGAATCCCTACAGGTACTTCAGAAAACTCACAGAGTCTTATGACTGAATGTGTTGCTTCAACATTATTATGAAAGACTTGAGCTTGAAGAATGATTGAAGCCGTTTTCCATGTGCACAATCTGTGTTTTTTTTAATGCAATTGTAGATAATTATTAGAAAAAGAATTCAGATTGTTGCCTGTCAGCATCCAAGGGACATGCACATAAGTTTTCCACTGCCCATAGAAGCTGGAAATTACTGAAATGGACACTGCTACTCTAGTGATCTCCTCTTGCTTCCAGGTCCCATGCTGAGCAGTTGGCCTGCTGCATTCTGAACACAGAAGGTTGGCCGCACGGCACAGGAACTTTTCAGAGAATGATTTGCGTCTTCTGAATGGCTGCAAAACGTTATGTGATTGCACAATTCTTTGAATGCCACCTGCGCTGAACTCTGAATGGTGCTCATGCCAACAGGTCACTCTCCTGTGTTCAGAATGCATCAGGCCAGCAGCTCGGCACAGGACCTGGAAGGAAGTGGAGATCTTCTCAATATATGTAGTGGAGTGACTGTTGCCACCCAAGGACAGGAAATATGTTATTTTCAGGATTACCAGCTGAATATAAAGGAAAGGAAGGCTGAAAAAATAAAACCAATGCAGGCACCATATTCATAGCTCACCACACACATTACATTTTTTGTAAGATCTCCTTCAGTTCTGCTAACAACTATATTGTACAAAGGCTTGCCTGATTCAATAAAACATTGTTGGTTGGATAGTTTAGGTAGCATTTATATTACATAGTTCTGGTAAATCTAAAGTTGACTGTACAAAGATTTCATAGTCAGATTGTAACATCTATGATAACCTTAAGGCCTTGTAAGCTGCACTATATTCAGTTTTGTTTTTTGGGTTCCGATTTTTTTAAATTTCTTCCACTGAGACACATGACTGACATTTCAAAAAGGTTGCTTACATCTAGCATCAACCATAGTTTCATTCATAGTGTTAGTATTGTCAACCTTTTTTTGCTGTATAGCCACTATAGTCTATTGAAACCATTACCCTAGACGTCATATCTGATATATTAAAGAAGCTGGCTGTAGGGTGTAAAGCACATTGACTAGAGGTTATGATTTCTATAGATCAGAAAAAATGTAGCCTTGACTTACATGCATGTGCTTTGTTTGCAATGTAGTCATAATTGTCTGGTCACACTTATGCAATCTATGTGCTTAGGAAAGACTGCGTCTTGAGAGAAACCGTGAATACAATCAATTTCTTAGGATAAAGGCAGAGGAGCAGGAGACATACCGCCTTGTCGCAGCAGCACAATATAATCAGGTAACTTGTCATTATAGCTGTGTTTCACACAGATATAACCTACTGGATATTTTGTTGAAGCATTGAAAGTACTTTGTTGACTTTCTCAGGCTTTTTTGCTATGCACTGTGAAAAGTGTGGAAGGGTATAATGTATAATTGGTTACAGTAACTGAGATCTTATTTTAGCCTGGCTTCAAACCTATGTGCTTTTGTTTCCGTGCATTTTGTCATGTATTTTTCAGTGTGTGTCTTCACTTCCAGAATGCAGGTAAGGTAGGTAATACAAAGTGGTACCCCAAAAACCTGTTTAATCTCATATGAGTTTAAGACAATTTCCATGGAGGTGAATAAGATATCCTTGTCAGAATCCACATTTTACAAAAAGAGAAGAATCACACATGCCTATCCTATGCAAGAATTCAGGTGTAAAAAACCCGAAAGTGATGTAGCGCTAAACCAGAAAAATCATATTAGGCCCATAAACAATCTGACATAATGATACAATCATTAACATGTACAAAGGGCAAAATAGTGCGTGATGGAACTAGATCAATAAAAATGCAAAATAAAACACGTGAGACCCCTACACACAGTGCACTAACATAAAAAAAGTCCAGTGATCCGTATCAAATTCCCTCCACTCATGCAGAATCAGTAGACTGTATGTGGACCCGCACACCACAAAGTGCAATCCAAAACCGGCTGGAATGGCCTCTCACCTCCTACCTGCGACCCTGCAGGGCCACAGAGCTTGATAAATCACCACTGAATCAGGATAGACTTCCTCTTGGGTGGATAGCTTCAACGATGTATCCCCATTATACTGATTCCACCTGATTCCACCAAATGAGCAGGGTGGATCCCAGCTCACATCCCTCTGCTCCCTTCGCCGCTTCGCGAAGCTCTGTGGCCCTGCAGGGTCGCAGGTAGGAGGTGAGAGGCCATTCCAGCCGGTTTTGGATTGCACTTTGTGGTGTGCGGGTCCACATACAGTCTACTGATTCTGCATGAGTGGAGGGAATTTGATACGGATCACTGGACTTTTTTTATGTTAGTGCACTGTGTGTAGGGGTCTCACATGTGTTTTTATTTTGCATTTTTTATTGATCTAGTTCCATCACGCACTATTTTGCCCTTTGTACATGTTAATGATTGTATCATTATGTCAGATTGTTTATGGGCCTAATATGATTTTTCTGGTTTAGCGCTACATCACTTTTGGTTTTTTACATTTTATTAGATCTATAGGTATTGGATCAGATGTTAGCAGCTTTACTTATTTATTCATTTGATTTTTTACATAAGAGCGCAAGTAGACTTTGTATATCAAGAATTCAGGTGTACATTGGGTCTGGAAATATGAAGATTAGCATTAATTTGTACGTAGTGAGCAACGACACTGTAGGACGTCATCCCATACTTCCTCATATAACATGCTCAGTTCTGATTCCCCGTTTGATTTGCAGCACACAGGGAAAGGGCTCAGGGATTTATGTAACAAATAAGTAGAGATAGCCAAAAGGAATTCTTCTATTATACTTATGTCTGTAAATGTCCAGTTAGGTGTACTAAATTGCAATTTAATCACATGGTGTAATTGTAGATACTGATAAAAAGTATGCTTTCCTAGAGAAAATTCTGAATGTAAACTTTGAAAAGATTTCATGTTGCCCCTGTGAAGATCTGCTGGAGGGTGAGGGTACCTGTGGCTCTCCAATTCTGGAATCCCTGTATTAGCAATATCTCACATGGATTAATTTACCCTTGTGGGCCTGAATTTAGACATTACCTGTGTGCGGAGCATTTGCTTACTAACATTCCATATCTTGCCTGTTAACATCACTGTGGGGTAATCCGAGGTTTGTTCTACATAGACCTAGAATTCAAGGAGGTATAGTGGGTTTCAGTCACCAAAAAATCGATATGAAGAAGACTCATGCGTTGTTGATTCCCAGCTGCCAATGCATTTGTGATTCTAAGAAAAAAAATCTGAAGATTTGGATCTGGGGGGAGGGGGGCAGGTCTTTGGGGTATTGTAGGGTTTCTAACCAGATTTCTGGTTGTCTTTTTTTCTAAATTAAATCTTGGAAGAGACTATTAATTTGTTTGAAAAACTTAAGTGAAACCCAAGTTGGGAAGTACATGTAACACTCCCCTCCCCCCCAGACTGAAAATGCTGTTGTCCAAAGGTGCCTCCTGTGCTCCTTTATCTGGAGTGGAGGCATTCTAATACAGGAGGTGTGTTACTGGCCAATCACCAGGTGAAAAATGAGGTGGTTTTGGGTTTAACACCACTTCAAATATTAATTTATAGACCTGAACTTGGCATTATAAATGACTCCTTTTGTTCTGTGGTGAATTACAGAATGATAAAACACAAAGCAGGCTGAAGGCACACCAATACTCAGAAGCTCCAGTATCCCATAGAGATCAGGATCTTCCCAAGAAGGATGCTTACTCCTCCATGGAGGCCTATGAACAGCTGCTCAATAAAAGACGAGCTGAGACTGAGAAACCCAGAAGAAGAGACGTTGAAACGGAAGCCGGGGATCAGTTTGTTCGGAGACCAGAGGAAGATATCATAGTTTCACATAATAAGCCTTGGAGGTCAGAAACAGAAGTTGACAGAATGGATCGACCTCGATATGCTGCTACAGATTATGAATCAGATAGAAGACCTCTGAGATTGAATTTTGCTCCTGATAGCAATGAGAGATATGATGGAGATGTACATGACAGAAGATCAATGAGATACAACCCACCTCCTGAAAGGTATTCTAGGAATGTTTTCTTTTTTGCTAAAATTGTTGTGTCACTTAAAAATAACAAATAGTGGTTCTAGCAGATGTAAAGTGCAGATAACTTTTAATTGCTTCCTTTGCACTGGAGTGCCAGGCTGTCCTGATAGGAAAAGCTATCCAGGTAGTGTCAGAGCTTGTGCATTTCCCTCACATTACTTCTCAGCTCCTGTTTAGACACAGCCTAAAGCCCAAGTAAGTATTACATGTTCGTTTTAGTTTTGCAAGTGCGATAGTAAACCTAAAAAAAAAATCTAAAAAATCTTTTTTCTGCAAGTTAAGAGCATAATGTGCTAGTATGCATTGTATACTAGCACATTATGAAAGACGTGCCTGAAAACAAAACCCACGGCTCCCCTATGCTTCCATCCTCACCCGGTCTTCCTTCCGTGTTCCTAGCTGCGGCAAATCTGATTGGCTGAGCCACGATGATCGACATTACCGGCGCTTCTACAGTAAATATCACCTAAACGGTGCATGTTTAGGAGATATTGACAGTACCTATAGGTAAGCCTTATTACCTCTAGGTAAAAGATACAAAATTGGGTTTACTTCCACTTTAAAGTATACCGAAAGCCAAGACCTTTTTATTCTGGCTAGAGTAGGGAATGGTTAAAATCCATGTAAGGTTTTTTTTTTGTCCTCTGTGTCTCTTTTTCTCCCGTACATTCAAAAGGAAGTGAGATTAAATATCTCCAGAATTAAAACGGTGTCACTGAAAAGGGTGTACCTATTTCAAGAATTCCCATCTATTTCTATACTGTTCATAGTAGAACATTTTGAGTTTCTGATCACTTTACTCCCCAGTGACAGGTGGGATAAATAAAGGGTTGAATCTCCCTAAAGGGGGCAGAGTTTAATGGAATATAATAACATGTTAATGAGGTGTGCATCCTCAATTCCATTTTAAATCACTGAAATGGAAATGCATTTCTTCTTTTTCCTGCTACTTTTCTATTGTGTATTCCTTTTGCTGTGCATTTTCCATCTTTTCTTTCTATTTTGGTGAAATATTTTTTGTACCATTTTTAATTTGATTAGACTGGCTAACTACACGTTTGTGTATTTTATCCTCTAGCAGCAGGAATTCACACCATCAAGTTTATTATACACTCTAACAAAATAAATGGCCTTACACAAAAAAGTGTGATTAAAGTGTGTCTAAACCCCAGAAAAAAATGATGGTATTGCAACTTAGCTGTCCTAGATATATGAAATAACAGATAATAAAATAGATTATAATTGATTTTAGAGTTCTACCTCGGCGTGGAGATGTTTTAGAGAAACATGAATACATACCAGATCACGCATCATACTTTCAGATAGAAAGAGGTGATCAAAGGTAGGTAAAATAATTCTATAAGAGCTTGTTTACCTGGGTGGCAAAAGCAGGTGGTTGATCTGCAATTAACTGCTTTCCACCATGACTATCAACCTAAACACAGAAATGCAGCTTCTCAAGACTGTATAAATGTGGTGGCTGTGATACTTTGTTTTGCAGCCACAGTAGAAATGAAAAGGTATGTCTCATTTTCCGGGCGGTACCGCCACTGAACGTGACCTATTCAACTGAACAAGGCCATGTCGCAATTGTGTGCATTGCACATGGTTGCAGTGCAGTGTGTCTGCATTTTGAGAGTTAAAACAGGAGGACAAAAGGTGACATATTGTCTCCTTGCTGCCTGTCAAACGCTACAGATTGCTTTTAAAAGCGACAGCAATAATAGCTGCACATGTGAATTAGCCCTGTGGATAGCTTCTGTCTTAAGAGAAAAACTAATAAAAAATAACTAATAAAGAGTTATACACATGACAGAAATATGCAAAAAACAAAAAAAAAGCAGCATATAAAAAACTTTTGTTAAACTCTGTTGTCGAAAAGGAAACTATAATGGTGGTAGATCTCTTTTATATTTACGCACAGCCTTTCTGGCCTGCTCTGTCTGAAACTTGAGACCGGGGATGGCCAAAAGAATGGCAAGAGTTACTTTAAGGGGTTAAAGTGGAATTAAACTGTCATTTAAAAAAACACACTGACAGTAGTAAAAACATGGGATGTAAAACGAGTGCTGGGTTTCAAGCTGATAGCATCAAGGTGAAACCTCTTACCCTCTAAAAAAAATCGATAAACAAAGATGCAGCACTAAAATAACTATTAAAGTGAAATATGTGCAAGCGCCAGTAGACGTAAATGTGAAAGCAAAGTGAATCGTCCAAATATGACGTATATATAGTGGAAACAATACTAAATACAAATATAGTCATGTGACGTGGATGGTAGATAAAAAGTCCAATGAGGCAGTAATCCGTTTCCGTGAGTTCCGTGACTTGGTGACTGGAAATTGGTAATGTGAATGCACTAACTAGAAGTGCAGTCTTTATGCACATTTGTGTAAAAGGTTATCCCGTCCTGGTCATCTGGATGTGGATAGGACCATAGGCAATCATCTGGCACACATCAGCATACAAGGTGATTAGCAGACCTCTCTCACACTCTCCAGGGACATCTCCTCAGATATAAATGACCAATGGATAGGGACACAGAAGGCGTTTGCAGATATCCACCTTAAAGGGCTTGAAATTGTTCGGCGGACTGTTGGCTCTTTGTATCTCAGTGTGGAAAACACTTCTTTTGAGAGTGTTCTGGGGCAAACAGGCCTCGCAGTCGGGTCACATATTGGTCACTTCTGTCATAAATTCTTCCCCTTGCCTGTCGGCTGTAATGTTCCATGCATGCGGAACTCAGAGTACATTTACGGCACCACTCTGTAGCATGTTAATGTGACTCCTGTGTGCATGCAAACCAACAGAACCCGGAAAGAAGACCAGAAGAAGATGGCAGCACTCCTGGCCAGTGGGAATGCCGATGGCACAGCTTGAGGACATTGTTTGACAAATAATTATGTCATAATGTGCTAATATGCTTTGCATACTAGCACATTATGGCATAAACCTCCTGGGGGCCCATTTATTTAAAAAAAGAAAATCAGAGTTTAATTGCTTAAGTCTAGGGGTTACAGAATAGGTTAAGGTTAGGATATAACATTCCGTTTTGGGAAATTAGTGGTAGTTTATGGTTAAGAGTTAGGTTTCGGAATTTGGCTATAATTATGGCAAGGTTAAGTATGAAGTAAGGTTAAAGCCGAACTGAAGTTTCACTGTAAGAATCAGTAAGCAGGCAGGCTTTTATTGCAGAAGAGGCATGCACTCTCTCTTCTGCAATAAAACGCCCCTACCTTCTTGCTCTTTGTCTTCTTCGGTGCTGTAAATTGAGCTGCACTTGCGCAGCTCAGATTAGAGCACTTGGACAGTCTATAAGTGCCAGGATGACTGCTCTTGCACAAGCTTACTCAAAAGAAGATGCTGGCATGGGACCATTGGACAGGAATTCATTCATCCTTTAGTTTTGTTTTGTATTTCATTGTTTTTTTTAATTAATTAAAGAAACAGCATACAAAGGAATAAAACCTACAATTGTGGGTTGCAGGATTCCAAACAGTAAGCCTATTCACTAAGGAATGATAAAATCAAATAAATAACAGGGTGAAGAAACTAACTAAGTAATTAGGCATGAAACCAAACAATCCCTCAGGCATGCATGCTAGAGTCCAAGATAAACTACTAGGCAACAATACCCGACATAAGATATTCAGTGAAAATAAAGTATCTCTAAACTTATGCAATCCTTAGTCAGATATCAGCATATATTAAAACAAAGTGGGATGTGGGATAATAGTCTGAAATAAAAAGGAAGGAAAAATAAAGAAAAAAAAGAGTAGCATAAAGGAGGATCAGCCAGGAGTCTTCTAAGTAACAGAAAGATATTGAATCCATAGTTCCCAAATACTATCAAATTTAGAAGTATTGTTATTAAGAATACTAGTGAGCTTATCATTAATCATGATCCAGTTGACTTTATTTTTGACATAGTCAAGCGGTATCACCGATCGCTTCCAGTATTTGCTTATCGTAATTCTCACTGCCAGTAGAATGTAAAGAATCAATGTAACCGATTTCTTGGGGATGTCTGTGGGCAATTGCTGAAAAAGGGACACATCTGCGGACCTATGAACGTTCACTCCTGTCACTGAGTAGAGAAAATTGAATAAACAGATCCAAAATCTAGTCACCACAGAACACCTCCACCAGAGATATGGCACATAGTGCCCTCCTGCCCACATTGTTGAAAACAAGAAGGTGATATGGTAGGGTATATTTTAGCAAGACGCATAGGGACTAGGAGCGTTTTATAATTAGATTCAATAAGAGTGGTATTAGTAGAGATTTAAGATAAAGCATTAGCTATGTCCCACCAAGCATCTAACTCTAAGGAGGTATTTAAATCCCCTTCCCATTGTATCATATAAAAAAAGTTTAATCTTTGGATCAATAAGGGAAGTATATATAATAGTTATGCGACCTTTCACCACACCAGAAGCACGACAAGAAAGTTTAAGAGAGGTGAGTGTAAGGGGTTCCATCAGTAATTTAAGTTTAGAGTGGATAAAGGACACAATTTGGTTATAACGAAAGATTTCGCTAGGAGGTAATTGCTATTTTTCTCAGAAATATTGTAGAGTATGGATGATTCCCATTCAATAAATCCCCAATACTTAGAAAGCCCTTATTGAACCACCACTGAAACACAGATGGCATTAAACCCGGTATAAATTCGGGATTAAAAAAGACTGGGGCCAGGGGGGTATGAGGGGAAAATAAGAAATTACGGGTACGCCACCTATCCCATATTGCTAAAGAGTAGGATAACCTAGGGCATAAGATTAGAGGACACAATAAATTGGGGAGCCACATGAGAGAACCAATAGCATAAGGATGACAAGATAAGGCTTCAATGCCAACCCATTGAGGTACAGTACCTATGGCTGTAGTGCTGCATTATCTGGACCGTGTAAAAATAAAACAAGAGATTAGGAAGTCCCAAACCGCCATGCTTTTTCTGGGAATATAAAGTTGAATTATTGATCCAAGGACGTTTATTACCCCACATGAATTGAGAGATGTTGGATTGTATGTGCAAAATTTCTCCTCTGGGGACTGCAATTGGCAATGTCCAAAAAAAAATAGAGCAATCTTGGTAAAAGGGTCATCTTGACAGAATTGATTCTACCAAACCAAGATAAAGGGAAGTCTGCCCAACTACGCAAATCGTCCTTGAGTCGTTTAAAAAGTAGGGGATAATTGGCACGATGTAATACTGTAATAGAACGTGTAAGATGGATCCCCAGATAGGGAAGAGAGCGGGGAGCCCATTGAAAATCAAAGTTGTCTCAAAGGTACTGAACCCCCGAAGAGGGTAAAGTGATATTTAATGCGTTGTTTTAGAAGAATTTAGAGTGCGACCTGAAGCTAAAGAGAATCGATGAAGTAAAGTCAACAAATTGGACAAAGACATTCAAGGATTGCAAACATACATAAGGACATTATCAGCAAACAGGGCACATTTGTGATCCTGTCAGTCGCAATGAATACCTGAGATGGCAGGGTCAGAACAAATAGCAATAGCAAGAGGTTTTATTGCCAATGCAAACAGTAAGGGGGAGAGTGGACAACCATGCCTGGTGCCTCTCCTAATAGTAAGAAGAGCCAATTTATACCTGCTAATAGAACCCTGAGCTGAGGATTTGCAATTTAAAGCTCGTAAAAGAGACAGAAAGGAGGAGCCAAACCCAGAGGCGCCCAACGTCTGAAACAAATAGTCCCAGGTCAAACTATCAAACTATTTGTGAAGATCTAGAGACAGCAGTAATACTTCCCTCGGCAGGGAATTATCGCAGTTAGATTGTACAGCAGATGGTAATCCCAGAGTTCGACGAATCTGGTGAAGTGTTTGAGGACCTCTAATAAACCCTGATTGATCATCATGAATGTAATGTGCTAAAAAAGTATTAAGGTGTAAAGCCAAGACCTTAGTAAGGATCTTAAGGTCGCAATTGATTAGAGAAATAGGATGGTAATTAGGAACAGCAGTGGTATCTTTATTAGGCTTTGGGAATGACACTAATATACACTCTATTCTCATCAAATGGCACCCCACCCCTGTCCCGTAGATAATTAAAGTAATGAGCCATATGTGGAATCAAAAGATCAGAAAAGGTTTTATAATAAGTATGAAGAAGACCATCCGGTTCTGGTGATTTATGTGGCGCTAAAGTTTTTACAGCATTCTGGATTTCCTCACAAGTGATAGGCTGGTCCATTAGTTCTCTATGGGCTTCTTGAAGAGATGGGAGAGTCAAAGATGTCAGGAAATGGTTAACAGATGGGGAGGCATTATCTCGAGGCAGACTATAAAGGTCAGTATAAAAAGAGTGAAATTCTTGC